GCATCATTATCATTGTTAGTCCCGCGTGTAATTTCATCATAATCCATGATTATAAGGGGCATCATAATCCAAAGGAGCATCACATCCATCAAAATTCATCAGCACCACGAGCATTTGAGCAATATTCATCGTATTAAGCAAGAAAATTATAATCGTCATATTCATCATCCGAATATGCAAGTTCACTGTGTTAGTTTATGAAAAGTATTGTTGGTAATCACCTTGCTCGCCCTTGAATTATTTTAATGTCCATGAATCGATTAATTCGAAAATATTTGCATCACTTCGAAGGTGTTTCTTGAATTGCAGCGAATAAGGCAGATGCTTGGGACTTTTATACCGCTGCGATGTTAATGACAATTTAATCAGGACTATCATATACATACATGAAATAATTTCATTAATTTGTTGGAATAGCGAAATGACAGCCCCCATCCCCACATACACTTCTGATTCACGTCTCGCGTCCCAACAACAGGTCAGATGAACCTACGGTGTGATGTAAATCTTGGTTGAGAGATTAATTAAATGATTGTGAATCAAGATGACTAGTGGTGAGTCATGCTGGATGCTGATGAGCGGTAATGACAAACTGGCCCTTGACACCTCTTCAGCCCGGGCCTTTGGTGAAGAGATGGCTCTTCAACCACTAAAATTTTTGCTCATCAGTATCTACTGAGGTGGCTCATGAGCCCCTATAGAGGTAGGGCCTGAATTTACAGAATACAGAGGCGACTCTTTAGCGTGGTCTGGGAATGCTACGTTCGAAACACATATACTAAAGATACTAAGGATGCTAAGGTCAGCTGCCAAAAATTCACGGCTGCATGTGACCGCGTGTTGTGTCCGTGGTGCCACCGCGGGGCATTCAATCTGACGGTGGCAATCGCAGGGCTCAGTGTCGCTTCACCTGACGACGAACTAACACAAAAGAGATTACAACTGCAATACCTGAATGCTGGGTTATCTAGAATTTCCCATCAAAGTAGACATATATAGGAAGATTTATGTTTTTTTTATTTAAATAAAACCAAAATATTTGGAACATAGCATGTGTGTCATTAAATCGAGAATATTTCTGTTATTCGTCATGGCTCTGCATACGTAGTGTATGAGCGTTCACTTTCTCCTTGGAGAAAAAATTACTGTGAAATTATGAACTTCAATGATGAATCCAAGTTTTATCGATAACTGAAGTTTCCGTATTTTAGTTGGATCCAGCTAATGTTTTTATTTAAACGCATACTGGATATTTTCATGTAAAAATTTCCATAAATCCATATTTACATGTAAAAAACAAGTAAAAGTTGCTGAACATATAAAGAGTCTATTTTGAAACATGTATTGACAGTGAACTGGCAATTATCAATATTAAAAGCAGAACCAACCACGAGGTTGTGATTTTTTAATTATGCCGTAAATGATGTGTACATGTACTGAGCACAACCGCAGAGTTGCCATTCTTAGTTACCGTTTGTATCTCTTCGCAGCGCTATGTAGTTGATGATGATATTGGGCGCTGCCGTGTTCACCAAGTAATTGCGGGATTTAAACATGTAACTAAATGAGAAAATTTTGCAGGCGTAAATCAGAAAAGCTTACGTATCCACTGTTTTGATATTTTTTACCGCTAGAAAAATCACCGAAATACTTATATAATAGATGCATTTTATTAATTATAGGATGTTCATGAATATTTAATAAATACCATCTGTTTGAACACAAAAATACGTGGTCGAAAGTTGAAAATAACGTGGAAACTGGGTAATAAAATTAATAGTTCGTAATGTATTATTATAACTTTTTATAGAATAAAGATAATATGTGATATAGAAAACATCTACACATATTATGTGAGTGAAGGTGATTTGAAATATTGCGGATCTGTCTGTCAGGAGAATGGGGTTGACTTACTTGATCGAGGAGTTGAATTCTGAAAGCCGTTAGGACTCGAGCGATCAAGTTCCAACCAGCGTTGAGAAAAAAATGATGATGATAATTGATGAGGATAATGTATTGAGGATGAACGTTGTCCAGGTCGAGAAGAAGGATTGGTGTCCCTGGCTTCCTGGTACAAGCCCGACGGGTTCAAGGCGGGAGGAGAGCACGAAGGGAAGGAACGAAACCCTCGACAGCGGCACGTGTATGACACTTATAAATTCGATATTATTAATCCCATTAGATTACCCCATAAACCCATAGCATTGATTTTACTGCACCGGCATGACTCACCACTACACAGCATGACTCGCTATCAGTTAATTACTGATTTGACTAAAATTTGCATCACGGTGCAGGTGCCTCCTGAATGACGTCTGATAACCTCATTGTACGCGTTCATTTTAACTTGAATTGTAATAATGTAGATTCTCGTCTCTCCGATATTCTAGCTGAAAGATTTCATGCTCGGTTTTAACTAGCTGATTTTAAAACCCGATCATTTTGCTGCCTATCAATTATCCTGCTGATTAATGTCAGTCGCTGACGTCAAGACGCACCTGCGACGTGATGCAAATCTCTGCCGCGTGATTTATGCTCAGAAAAGATAATAATTCTCGCAGTGCATTTCCCAATTATTTCTCTGCACATGAAGAGGCTCTCGCTGAACAATGATTCCAGTGGAAATGATTCAGACGTTGCTCATGACATTGAAAATCACTTCGGATGATTAAAAGGGTTTGTGAATTTCATGATGCTTTTGTTATTTGTTGTTATGATGCTTACGTCTTTACAAGGATCCTGATGCTTTTAATGCATCAAGGATCGTGATGCTTTACAACTTTTAAAAATTGATTTTATTGTTATAAATGCTGCTGATGGTGCTCTAGATGCAACCGATTATCAAAATGATGTGATTTTAATTCCGTAGTGATGCGCTAATGATGTAATATAGCCATCAAAACTTCCTATAATTTGAAAATGAATGATGTCGCATTCGAAAAGTCGTTAATAAATTAATGACTCCTTGAACCTGCATTTTGATCAACCAACGTCATCTCAAGAATATACTTTGATCATGAAAATTTAAATCAATGAATTCTCGAGTCATATTCAGGCTTGAAATTTTCTAATATTCAAGTCCGAAAATTTCAGGGCCGCCTCTAACTGGATAGTTCTAACACCTAATTCGTTTGTGTTTGTTCAAATATAATGCTAATTAATATCATTAACTGACGTCAAGATACACCTGCGACGTGATGCATATCATTGTCAAATGATTTATTCCCAGAAATCCTGATAAATTTTGTCTTGCAATTCTGAATTCAAAATCTGCGCTAGAAGCGGCTTTCAGTGAACGATGATTCTGAGGAATATGATGTGGACGATGTTCTTAATGTGAATATAAATAATGATTTTCAACTTAATGTAGATTTTTCCTTTTTAATATTTTTTTTGCTGCCCAATTAAAATTACAACTTTACTGTGATTGTGAAGCAATTTTTCTAGACTCATTTATATGATACTTTATGCGGCAAAAATTGCTTGCAATGCTATTTATGCTTATGATGATCTTGATGAATCCGATAATAAGGATGCAATGCGATTCGGGAATTGTAATGATGTGATCCGATCAGAATGTTGTAATGTGAATTTAGTGATGTTAGGACGTAAAATGCTTCCAATGACTCAATGCTATTTGAATGATTTGTAGATGTAATGTGATTGATTGATGATCTAAAACATGAACGAAATGGACAAACAAGCAGCAGTATAGCAACGTTTGGGAAATGATTTAACGAAATAAATTATCGTAATGTTCGAATTTCAAAAATACATCCCACTTAAAAAATACATCCTGTGTGTCTGATTGGAGTGACATATTCGAAAAGAAAAAAATGCTAATTTTTTAGGATATGGTTGAAAAAAATCAGAGTCGTGAATATGACTCGAACCCTAATGGTTAACTAGATCACAGAAATTCAATTAATTTATTCTAATTGAATGGTATTTTGCAGAGACATACAAGTTGAAATAATTTAGAATATATACTCGCCGTGTTACCTATAGCTCACTCAGAAATATATAATTGTTTTTAATACAGACTTTCAACAGCTGTGTAATCAACATTATATAAGCTAAGCCAAGTGTATCTCAAGAACCCGATTGAACATTATTTTCTATAACAGTTCTTTAGGTAACATTTCCGGTAAACTGATCTCGCAAATCTTCCGCCATAGTAATCACCAATGGCAATATATTAAATGGATTATATTATATATTAAATGGACATTTGAAAAGCATTGCAGGCTAAAAACTAACAAATTTAAGAGAAAATCTTAGCTAAACAAGGTTTTAATTTTGCCGCTTAATATACGGTCAACATATATAATAGATTGTGCTGGTGACCGTGCTTCTTTAACATTGAACTTGACAATCGACTAACAGTATAGAGCAGTCAGAGCTTCATACTGAGTCATAAGTTGGCTGAATATAAAATATTTATGTTATAGAATAAGGTCTGATGTGACCGATGGACATAATCCAGAGAATTTAAAAAGGCTCAATAACTCAATGACTATTCAGAAATTTCATCACAGCCTTATGATGAACTTTCAGACAACTCAATGAGTTATTTTGCTTTTTTCAGTTGCTCGTATATATTCATCCGGTTTAAAACATAGATTTGGATGTAAGCGCAATGCATTAACAACTTTCTCGCTACGAGTAGCAAGAATGTCAATTAAACATTAAAATCGTTGTATCATGTGCGAGGTTTATCGTCATATGTGTCATTAAAATCGAGAGCATCATTAGCGGCATGTGTATTATATGCATAATGATGACTGCCGGCATCAACACCTACGAGTATAGAATGAATATCGTTTTAGTTTAAATGAGAACTGCTGACGCCAGATGCATCAGCGGCATTAATAATTCTTAATAATCTCAAACTTAATCTGATCAATAATCATGACGAACAGAGTAATTACATTTATTATAATGGTAAAATTATTAACAATAATATTACCAGCATTGTGTTGAGATTGATATAAATTTTGATTAAAATTTTATTATTTCAAATTGAATACCAACAAAATAATTATACGTCAATTTAGTTGCAATGCCGGTGTCCATTTCGCCGAACTTGAGTAATTTCAATGTCCTTGAAGCGATGAATTCGCAAAGATTTGCATAACTTCGCAGGTGCTTCTTGAATGGCGGCTGATAAGGCAGAAGCTCTCGGCATTTATTCAGCTCCGATATGAATGACAAATTACTCAGGTCTATCATTCAGTTAGATGGAATCATTTCATTAACTGGATAAAAGGTCGAGAGGACGTTCATTTTCCTTCACATCAATTCATTTCTGATTAACGGCTCTTATTCTGACGACAGGTAAGATTCACCTGCAGCGCGATGCAAATCTTAGTCAAAAGATGAATTAATTGCTTCTGAGTCACGATGAGCAGCGGTGAGCCAGGACACCTGCTGGAAAATATCGCCAAGTTTCGTGATCGCGGCGCCCCCCGCGGGTCATTTAACCTGGCGGTGGCCGACGCAGGGCTCAGTGCCGCAGCAACCTCCAACGACTTGACACGAAAAATCAACGCCTCATCTCATCAACTCAACGCCTCATCTCATCAACTCAACGCCTCAGCAACTGAAAACATGTGCGTTTTCTTTTCATTCGTATTTTGGGTAACAATGTTGTCACAGATCAAGGCAGCCGGTGCTAGAGCTCTTCAGTGCATTTTGCTACTGCTTTACTGCTTTGAGATTACATGAAGTACTCGAATCCTATGCATCGAAGTAGCGAACTTGGAGCATCTAAAGATTTTAAATATTTTTTTGAGAAATTTCTCATAGAGTTATTATGTCATTTGTGCTGATTATAAATAGTAGAACTACAATATGGATTAGGCACTACAATGTGAATTACACCAGTGATGAATATCAGTGCTGATGGTTTATACTGCAGATTTGCCATGCTAATTTTGTGTTTTTCTATACAGCGCCATGAAGCTGATTATACCGGTGATGCTGATGCTGGTGGGAGCCGCTGTCTCCGCCAAGGTATTGAGTGGCCAAACTGTGTAGCTAAATAACTTTTTTGTTTAAAATTTGTTATTTTAAATTAAGTATTTTTCCTCAGTCATTGTTTGTCATGAAAATCTTCATTAGATATTGAACATTTGAAACACATATGCATCGGCGCGGCGGCGCAAATGAAGCAGTTTACTACAACAAGATTTCAACATGCATGGATTCAAAAAATTGCTAAGAAATTCGCTTTCTGTGTACGACTTCAACTCAACTAATGCATTTATAGTGCACCTTAGATCGCAGAATGGCCAGCCAATTCCTTGCATTCAAAATAATCACATTTTACCACCGATTTTTGAATTATTCAACAGTTTAAGTTGTTCACGGGCAATATATAATCCGTCTAAATTAATGAAAATCTTTCACATATACTAGGAAGCAGAAGGAGATGCAGCCATGGAGTCACGAGGAATTAGTAAGTGGATCTTCATTGGCAAACATGTCTCGTATCGTAGGTATTGCAGAGCTTAGATATATGTGGAAACCGCAATCCAATCTTGCTGAAGAAATGCTCTCTTTAATTATGAGCTACTGACAACCGGATATTCTCATTGCTTTATATCATTGAAAACATATCGTATTTTGAACGACAGAAAG